GGCCATGTGCCATCTCTGGTCCCAGCTCCTGCCAATCTAGCAGTTCAAAAGCAAGAAATTGCAAGTAGATAAATAGAGTGGGAAGGCAAAAGCTTTCCGTGCACACCTCAGCGTTTAGTCATGCCGGCCACATGACCACGGAGACATCTTCGGACAGCGCTGGCTCTTCGGCTTGGAAACAGAGATGAGCATCGCCCCCTAGAGTCGGACTTGACTGGCTTTTGAGCAAGGGAAACCTTTGCCTTTAAAACCTTAATTTAAAACAGGAAACACAGGATTTGCTCCAGCCTGTTTTTTCCCTACTCAGTGTTGCCCAATTCTCCTGTTTATTTATTTTATTCAATTCATTTGTACCCCACCTAGAGAGGCAGCGTGGTGTAGTGGTTAAGAGCGGTGGACTCTAACCTGGAGAACCGGGTTTGATTCCGCACTCCTCCAAATGAAGCCAGCTAGGGGACCTCGGATCAGTCACAGCTCTCTCAGCCCCCCATAAGTCTACCTCGCCACCTAGTGTGCATAATGCTAAAAAGAGCTAGTACTTCAGGCAGCCAGACAATCTTAAGATCTCCTGGCTAAGCCACACAGAACGCCCATACTATAATGATTATTGTACTCCACCTTTATCCTCAACGGGGACCCAAAGGGGCTTACATTGCTCTCCTCGCCTCCATTTTCTACTCACAACAATCCTGTGAGGTAGGTTAGGCTGACAAAGTGTAACTGGCCCAGAGTCACCCAGCAAGTTTCCAAAGCATGACTAGGGATTCGAACCCAGGTTTCCTAGATACCAGTCCACCACTCTTAACCACTACATAACACTGGCTCTCTATTTACCACAGTCTATTTAACACAATCCCCATCCCACAACACTGATGTTGATGTCGTTCCCATGGTCCTTTTCACAGTCTTTTTATGTGGTCAAAAGGGACTCAACCCATATTCTAATTTATTTATTTATTTGATTTTTATCCTGTTCCTTTCCCCGCCAGGCAGGGTGAAAGGCCAGCAATGCTAACCGTCTTCTGTGTAAAGGACTCCCCTCCGTACTGAAAACACCCAAAGTTTATGTTTGTTAGTAGAAGTGCATCAGTGGCTGTCTTTCATTCAATCTGAATGGGCACAAACCCTGTTCAAGACTTTGCTTCTGTTCACACTGAAGTGGAGAGGGCTAAAAAAGCTCTTTGCTGTGAGGAGGAGGAGGAAGAAGAAGAAGAGATTGGATTTCTATCCCACCCTTCATTACCCAAAAGAGTCTCAGAGCGGCTTACAAACTCCTTTCCCTTCCCCTCCCCACAACAGACACCCTGTGAGGGAGGCGGGGCAGAGAGAGCTCTGACAGAAACTGCTCTTTTCCAAGAACAGCTCTGACAGAACTGTGGTTTGCCCAAGGTCATCCAGCAGGTACATGTGGAGAAGTGGGGGATCAAACCCGGTTCTCTCAGATAAGAGTCTGTGCACTTAACCACTACACCAAACAACAGACACCCTGTGAGGTAGGTGGGACTGAGAGAGCTCTTTCGAGGACTGCCCTTGAGAGAACAGCTCTGAGAGAACTTATGACTGACCCAAGGTCACACCAGCAGCTGCATGCGGAGGAGAGAGGAGGCCTTGGTAATAAGCCAGACAGACAGTCTCTGGTGGCCAGACTGGGCTCATGGTCCAACTTACCTTTTCCTCTGTAAATTGTTAAAACTTCACTGGTCCTTCCTGCTGCAGTGGGATTCTTCACTGCAGGAAGAAGGCTGCAGCTAAGTTTCAAAATCCTGCTGCGTCATTCAGCCCAGTATTTGAGGAATGGCACTCCCTGAATCCTAGCTTTCAACACTTTGATTCATGTCTACAAAACTTCGGCTACAATAACTAAATATGTCAGCTAACAGATACTTGTAAATGTGTTTAATATTGTGCACTAGACATGCATTAATGTCCCATATAGAATACTAAAGTTAGGAATACATTTGTAAAGCGGCAATTAGGCGGTAACGGTTTAAACTTCAAGTCTGCCATTCTTAAAAGTAACAAAATGGGACAGTAACACAATGGATCTTTTACACTGATGTTAACACTTACTGAAAATACTGATTTACTTAAAAAAATATTAAATCACAATATAAGACTATCTGCATCTCTTCCAGATGGATTAATTATGAAACTCCAGTGACAACAACGAAAGGCAATGGCAACAGACTCAAAATATAAGACAGCGATTGTCAAATGCCATGAGATTTTGTAAGATCAGAACATTCTGGTGTACAGATGTTGGATATACTTTAGCAGAGTGCAAAGAGCACAGCAGAAATAGAGAAGAAGAAGAAAAGATAGGATTTATACCCCGCCCTTCACTACCCAGAGGTGTCTCAGAGCGGCTTACAAACTCCTTTCCCTTCCCCTCCCCACAACAGACACCCTGTGAGGCGGGTGGGGCTGAGAGAGCTCTGACAGAAACTGCTCTTTTCCAAGGACAGCTCTGACAGAACTATGGCTTGCCCAAGGTCATCCAGCAGGTGCAAGTGGAGGAGTGGGGAATCAAACCCGGTTCTCCCAGATTAGAGTCCGTGCACTTAACCACTAAGAAGAAGAAGAGGAGATTGGATTTATGTCCCCACAATGGACACCCTGCAAGGTAGGTGGGGCTGACAGAAACTGCTCTTTTTCAAGGACAGCTGTGCCAGAGCTATGGCTTGCCCAAGGTCATCCAGCAGGTGCAAGTGGAGGAGTGGGGAATCAAACCTGGTTCTCCCAGATTAGAGTCCGCGCTCTTAACCACTACACCAAACTGGCTCTCACTAAAGAAGCCTTAGACACGTGTGTGTTTAGCATCTAATGAAAAGTTTCCTAAAAAGAAAATTAGAAAAGGGTTACATGGAAGAGATAAAACAACAACAGACTAACTCGTTTTTCTAGAACTAACTTCATCTTTTCTTCTTCAACTCTCTTTCCCATCTGTGTGTGGGAACAAAGGAAAGGAAGTTTCCCCCCAAAAGCTTCACCCCCGGTGTACGTGCCAAACTGCATGTACCATCTTCCAATATATTGATCAGCCTATAGTCAATCCCAAGGTAGCCTCATTAAGAATAATACCTCCCCCTTACTGGCGGGAACATTCTACCCGGCAACGAATAGGTTCTAAGCTCACTAGCTAACATTAGCATACACAAACAACGGCTTAACTCTTTCATGACTGAAGGAGTGACACTTGCAAAATCCCCAGAAGATCAACAGTGCAATCCTAAACAGAACTATACCCTTTGAAGCCCATGGAAGTCAATAGTCTTTAAAAGAGTGTAACTCAGTTTAGGACTGCCACTGGAGCATGGATAGAGTTCAGAGTGCCTCAGACACACCAGGCCAGTATTCCTTATAACAGTTCAGCAAAGCAGGAAATCACAGAGCACAATGACTTAAATAGTGAATAAGCTGTCAATGGAAAAACTGAGCTGGGAGTTCCCGAATTCACATCTCACACTTTTATTCATTTATCTGATTATTATTTTTTAGTCACCACTCACTCAAAGGGGTTACAACATTAAAACCAGTTAGGTAAAAACAACATAAAAACAAACAACCAAATAACAGATATAAAATATTAACATCAAAACATTAAACTATTAAAATACATGGCTTATCATCACACCACTGTTAAAACAGCCCAAACAAATGTTTACTCCAGAGGCCAACCTAAATAATTTAGCTTTGCATGTCCTGCGGAAACTAAACAAGTCTGGCAGGGCACGGGTGTCATCCAAGAGTGCATTCCACAGGGCAGGGGCCACAACGGAGAAGGCCCTTCCCCTGGTGACATCTAACTGAGCCATCCTGGGACCAGGCACCTGCAAGAGGCCCCTAGAGGATGACTGAAGGGAACATGGGGGGCCGTAACGGGAGAGGTAATCCCGGTTGGTATGATGGTTCCAGACCACTGAGGGTTCTTAGCTGCTATGTTATACCAGCTCCCTAATGTGATAGTGTGAGGCCAAATGTTCTACCAGTGATGACAGCTCACTTACACATGGAAGTCTATAACTGAAATACATTCTACAATGATAATGGTCATCATGGTAGATTACAAAAACCAAGGAGACAATTGACAATGAAAAAGGATATTAATAAAACCAGTTGCCTTGCAGAAACCAGTCCTCAGCCCCTCCAGTTCCTGAACCAAGGAGAGAGTTCCTCCCCGTCTCCAATTCTTCTCACAAACATCACAACAGACAGACCACATTCAGCTTTCCTGACCATCTCCCACCTCAGAATTATTTCGAAATTACATTAAAGCAAGACTTCATATTGCTTGTTTGTGGTAAATAAATGAAATTAAATCCACCAGAAATTTCTGTGGCACTCCACTGGAAGTAAATTTATTTTAATCTGTTTTTCCTCTTTAACCGTTTAAACCACATCAAAAAATGTTTAAAAGAAAGGTATGATGTCTCAGTTCTCCAGCTACAAAACTGCAGTCCACAACAGGTAATATCTGAAATCTGAGGTGAGAATTTTACCCAGTATTAGACAGTCCAATCTGCCCCAAACTGTCTTATTACAAACTGCATCAATGAAAATTGGTTCTTAATGAGGTCACTAATAAACCTCTAGAAAGTTAATCACTTTTCTAGAAGTGGTCAGCCTTCCTTTCAGTAAACACCCCCCCCCCCTCAACAGGAGCACAGTCTACCTTAAAAGTTCAAAACCCAAGAATATGAATGCAAAATTATTATTATGACTGTACAGGCAGCGCTATCTCTATTGCAGCATTTTCAAACCTCATAAATCAAATCCTAGAATAAAGACATCCATAACAACATTCAAATGTAAGGAACAAGAAAAGCGTAGACGAAATTCGTATTATTAGTTCTCTTCATCTATATCTAGTCTAAATAAAGGAGGTAATCTAGAAAACTGAGGGCAAATCTTTCCTTTGTTACAATTTGGCAAACTGAACAGAAGACTAGTCTATTCAAAAGATATGACTGGGCTTCTCTTGGAGATAACTAGTACAATACCTTATTGTCTCCTTGTACTTCTCCCAGCCTCTGCTGAAGTTCTTTGATTTCTTCTCCCAGACGCTTATTTCGATCCCGAGAATCACTCAGAAGCTGGGCAAGATTGGCCTAGGGGAGGAAGGCAAAGTTCCATCAAAGGGTGACTCTCAAAGTGGATTAGGAGATGTTATCTGTGAAACATCATTGAGCTTAATTCAGTACTGCATTTGCATTGCGTTCGACTGGCGGTGACAGGATTCCGCATGCTTCATGAGGCCAAAAAAGCATCATTCCTACAACTAAATAGCTACAAAAATAAAAACAAATCAACCATGTGTGATATAAACCTTGAAGGCTGCACATAAACAAAGACAGATGGCAACACAAATATTGTGTGGGGCCATGGTGTGTGTGTGTGTGTGTGTGTGTGTGTGTGTGTGTGGAGGGGGACTCTTGCCACACTTCAATTACTATAAAGAAGTGACACCAATGGTTAAATCTTTATTTTTTTTTAGAAATTAGGCTTCTAGACTGCCCTCCCCTGCAAAACAGGGCTTGGGGCAGTGTGCAATAATAAAAGCACATTAATAAATTAATCGACAATTAAAAAATTAAACTAAAATACAGCAATTAACATGTACTAGATGGCACTAAAACTCCAAATTGCACCACTGTCCCATGGGTGTGTGTGTGTCAGGACCGGACCTTAGCCTGACTATTGATCGTGTATTTGTAACTGTGGTTCCCTGATGTACATAGCTTCGCACTGTTATTGTTTACTCCGCTTGAGCTCTCTTTATGCTTCTGATTCCCAAGCTTCATCTCCGCACCTGCAGATGCTGTCTACGTGGTCCTCCCCTGACATTCCTGAAGGGGGGGGGATCAAGACATGTCTGTGTGAACTGCAGATTAGCTGCGCTGGGGCCGCTATGAAAGGGAAGCCTCCTCCACAGAGGCCAGGGAGAACTTCACCATTTCTAATTCTCATGGCCTTGGGGGGAAGACATGAAGTGAGAACATTCACACCCTCCTAGTTGTACTGTATTAACCTGTCTTTGCACCCTGCAATCATGACGTATGAATGAGGGCTGGACCGAAGGTCTTGTAATTCCCAACTTTGTAATATTACTCAGTTCTGCCAAAGAGTCTGACTTTACAGCTACTTTCCTGATTTCTCAATAAAGCCTGTTAAAGGAATTATTGCATCTGAGAGTTCCTGACGAAGCTGACAGGGGGCGGGACAGGAAACCAGCAACAGGGTGCCATGCAAGGTGGACACCGTTGCCATCCTCCACCAAAAGCCTGACTGAACATCTCTGCTTTATAGGCCCCATGGAACGGCATTAAGTCCTGCAGGGCATGGATGTTATTCGGCAGAGAGTTCCACCAGGTTGGAGTCAGGGCCAAAAAGGCCATGGCTCTGGTCAAGGACGGCCGGATATCTTTCGGTCTGGGGATCCCCAGCAAGTTCTTCTCTGCAGAGTGCGGTGCTCTTCAGGAGAGGCGGTCCCAAAGATGCGTGGGTCCCAAACTGTTTAGGGCCCATAACCAACAGCCCCCGAAAGGAGTCACCAGAGAGCCGAAAAGAACAGCGGAGGCCGCGGAAGATGCACCGGAGAAAAACTGGAAGGAGTTGGCCACTCACCAGATAAACGAACGATCGGAGCCGGGAGGGTACCTGGTAGGGCTTCCCCCACCCCAGACGTACTGTGGCCATAGTTAGGGTTTCTGCATAGGTCTCTGCACCATGCACCGTGTAAGCCGCTCAGAGCCCTTCGGGGGTGAGCGGGGTACAAATGGAAAGTATATATAAATAAAATAAGTATAAATAAGTACTGATCCGGTACTCCATCTGGAGCCAGTGCAGCTGACATAGCACTGGCTGAATATGTGCCATTAGCAGGGTTCTAGTAAGGACCCGCGCTGCCACGTTCTGGATCAGTTGGCATTTCCGAGTCTGTCTGTGCAATGCTCCCCCCAAGCTTGTGGAATCTCGTGAGCAAAAATCCTACTTTGTGAGCTCCCGGCATTAAAGTTGTGAGCGAGCGATTTGGCTGTCGTGTAAGTTAGCTTGCTCTACAGCCCTCCTTCCTGAGTTAAGACAAAAATGTGTGAGCCAGAGGCTAAAAAACTGCGAGCTAGCTCACACTAACTCAGCTTAGAGGGAACACTGGCCCTGTGTAGAGTGAGTTACAGTAGCTTCATCTGGAGGTGACCGTTGCATGGATTACGGTGCCTAGGTCAGGGTGAGACAGGAAGGGGGCCAGTTGCCTAACTTGGGCCCCGGTCACACAGGCAGGAAAATGCGGGGGGGGGAGCATGGCTGTTTGCCCCAGAGCAAAATAACGCGCGGTTGCACGATCAGACGTCCCGTAGAGGTCCCGTGGTTAGGGTGGTTAGGGGGGAGGTGCCGATCACAGGACAATCCTGCGGCGCGGCAAAGAAGCGGCCTCTCTAGCAAAAGGCTCCGCAGGTTTAACCCCTTCCAGGGCTGCAGAGGAATGCAAACTGTGTCCTCCGTCCGGTCCCCTCCAGAAGCTTCAGCCAGGCCGCCCTCCCGCCACGTCCCTCTGCACCTCCCCCTCTGCCGCCCGGTGCAGAGAGTTCCTCTCGAGCAGGCCGAGGCAGGAGTGTGGGGGGGGGGTACGGAAAAGATGAGGGGGCGGTGTTGTTTGTTTTTAAACGAAGTGTGCGCATACACCATTGGGTGCTTGTGCACATCCCGTGGAGACTTGGGGGGGGAAAACCCTTTTAGCGACAGGACATGGGCGGGCGCCAGATGCCACGACCTACCACCGGAAACGCGATCAGGCGCCCGCCCTTGCCCCGGGGTTTCCGGAAACTAGTACCTCGGAGGTACTAGTTTTTTACCCCGCATATTCAGCGGGAAGCCTCGGATTCGCCACGGGAGCTCTACGCTTCCCAGATGTGGTGCTGTGATCGCGCCCGGAAATTCCGCCTATCTTCCGTCTCTGTAGCGTGGCTAATGCTCCATGTGACCGCAGCCACGGTATAGCTGGAAAAAGCCTCTCTGGCAACATTTGTGATCTGGGCCTCCATCAATAGGGAGGCATCCAAAACCACACCCAGGCTCCTGACAGCCGGTGCCAGTATTAGGGGCACCCCGTTAAGGCCCTCACTAAGCTGGAAAGTTGATGAAAATGAACACTGATGTGGACTTCATCACTCAAGTGGACTTTAACTTTAATGTGTAAAGCATGCCTCATAAGTAGACACAATCCACTGTGAAATTGTCCCATTCAAAGTTCTCTAAAGTACATGGGAGCAGAGCGACACTGAAAGGTGTTCTTGCACATTCCCCATTCAGAGCTGAACCCAAAGATACCTTTTCATATATGGAAAGCATCCTGCACTTACACTGGGTCTATTTTAAACCTCACACTCAATTGCTACACAAGAAATCTGGAACTATGCCTTTACAGAGCTGTCACAGAAAGGGCAGGGCTGTGGCTCCATGGAAGAGCCTCTGCTTTACATACAGAAGGTCCCAGGTTCAATCCCCAGCATCTGCCTGGTCCATTTAACTGGAATAGAGTGAGGTGAAAGACCTCAGTCTGAGACCCTGGAGAGCTGCTACCACTCGGAGAAGACAATACTGACCTTGACAGACAGATAGGCTGATTCAGGATAAAGCAGCTTCATGTACGTACCACGTGCATACCGTCCCACACAAGACCACACGGCTAGCAGCCATTTTCTCATTCTCATAGCTCCTGGGAGCCATCTATCTTTATTCATAAAGAACGTCTGGTGGACCATGCTTTTTAGTTTTCTAAGCATACTCGGATATTTAGACTTCTCCTTCACATTATTGACAGTTCTGTATAAACAATAGCCGATTACCATCACTGTTGGCTGTTGCTTTTCCTTACAGCAAGCCGTGAATTCCTGAACTGCCTTGATATAGGAACTAGGGATGTGCAAGGGGAAAAAATGGTATTTTTTGGATGTGGGGTTTTTGGGCCCTTAAAAATTCGGTATTGCCTTGAAAACCCGAATTCTTGTTGGGTTTTGGCACTGCCAGAGTCGCACTGGTTCTGCTGGGCACACAGCTCTGGTTCTGTTGCTGGCCTTGCAAACATGCCTCCTCCCCACACCTCACTTTCTACTGCAGAGACTCTCTGGAAGAATCTGCTGGGCTTGTTGTATGCCTACCTCTTTGGGTGCCCACAGAATTGGACCCCCTGGTCCAATCCTTTTGAAACTTGGTGGTTCTTTTGATGAGAGGCTGCAGCAGCTACACTGCAAATTTGGTGTCTCTACCTCAAACTCCCTCCACCACCACCCCAGCTTGCTGAATATACCCGAGATTTGCCATTGACTATAATGGCCCTATAGGGTATAATGGAGCCGAAAAATTTGAGATTCCCGAATTAATTCGGGATTCTCTTATCGGTAAACCGAATCAGACCAGAGAATCTGATTTGGCTTAACTAATGCCCAAATCATGCTGAAAATGCATGAGTCGGGTATTAATTCAGCTCAGAAATGCCAAATGCACATCCCTGAAATAGGAACTACTAGGTTTTGGTAGCAGTTATGTGAGGAACTGTTACTCTTACTTCTTGGTAGAAGTCTTTCGCAATAGATTTTATTACATTAACACAACATACGTGGGATATTTGGGGGGGGGTCTATTGTTGTAGAAAATATTCTGCAAGTTTGTCTTGAAATGATGTAGGTATTATTGGTAGCCAAAGTTAAATGTGCTGAGAACTACTAGAAATGCTTTGAAACTAACTCCATGATCTTCAAGAGTTACCAGCTGCCCCAATGAATCTGTAAAAAAAATATAAGCTGAGTGACGTGGTGTAGTGGTTCTAGTGTGAGACTAAGGGCTTTTCCACATGGTTGTTTTTTTGTTTTTTTGTTGTTTTGTTTGTTCTGGCCCCATACGGCTTCAAATTATCCTCTGATTTCTGGACACATTTTTGTGCCTTAGATTTCATTTTGCTCCCCCCACCTGCAGGTTTTTTCGGTTTCTTCTGAGACCATTTTTACCCTGATCTTTTCCTTATAGCTGATTTTGAGTCGCCTTTTCCCTCACGCATAATGTTTCTGTTGGTTTTCTTTGCCTTGCCCACTCCCATGCACCTCTGGCCCACTTT